AAAGTCCAAAGGATTCAGTCTGCTCTTATGTTCTTCTTTCATGAGATTTCTCCCATTCTTACTTTTGAGATGACTCACTTTATACCCTGTATAAGAATATCAAGAGTGACCAGCTCCATACACCTTATTTACATGGTTCACCCAGTTATCCAGTGGGGATTACAAATTGTACATCTGGAAATTACCATGCCAAGTAATTCAACTGTACTAGTTTTATCAAAATCACCCCTTTAGAGTTCCCCAAATAAGCCAGTGCCATCTTCTGAGCTGACCTCTACACCTCGGATATCAATGACCTGGCACATGCAATTGAAAGGAACTGTTTCAGTAGAACATCTTTTTTTCCCTAAAAATACTTTAATGAAACTATGAGAATATGTCTACAGCCACCAACTATTCAGAGATATGTTCACACGTTTGGTCTGGAAGTGATAAATGCATGTATGAACTGGAACTTTATGAGTAATAATTTGTATATATCCTCAGTGTGTCATCTGTATATCACAGGTTGCTAACGAGTCTACCGTCAATCTTGATGCCACATTCCTATTCATATTATCAAGTGTTTTAAGATTCTTGGCTCAGCATACAGATTGAATGAGCATGGTTTAAGGATACAGCCCTGAAACACACCTTACCAAGTTTAAACCCAGGAAGTATCTCCTTCTACTGCTTGAAAGATTGTCTCTTGGTATCTGTGCAGCTTATGCTTGAGCACAGTTAAGTGTTCTGGAGTTCTTATTCTATTCAATATTATTCATATATTTTTATAAACCATCAAGCTGTACATGGAAACAATGATCCAAATGGACTAGTGGACCAAGTGTCCATTATCCTGAGACAAGAAAAAACAGATGATGTCCAGCTACCACCACCAATTATTCTAAATGGATCCTAGGTAAAGTGGGAGAATGCATGAAAGAGACCAGGTTGTCTGGTCAGATCAAGAATGGTGGAATCTCTGAGACTTGTGCATTTGGTGGCTCTCTGGGTCTAGAACAGAGCTCATTCCTGTGGTTCAATTTTAGGCTAAGGAGTTAAAAGGTCTATAAAGGGAAAAATAACACTATTGGGAGGCACGCAACTTTAAATAATTGATAATTTGCAATAATTGAACATTTTCTCTGACCGAAAGTTTAGGAAAGAACGAAGAAGTAAGACAAGAAACACAAGAAGGAATGAGCAATGTTGCATTGCAGGAATTACAATGAATTAGAAGAAGCAGAATGTGCATGAATCCTTGAATATGAAACTGATGATCTACTGTAAACTTCCACCCAACGTACAAGAAAAAAAC